TGCATAGTCAATAAGGCGCAAGTACACATCTTTCTGGTATTTCTGGTTTCCGCCAAGATCCATCAGACGTCAGCAATGATATCCCTCATTCCATGTCCTCTTCTGAATCCAGTGTGAATTTCTGGCAGCTCCCCATCGATGTACTGCTGCAAATGTTTTTGAATTACCTTCAGCAAAGTTTTACTTGCATGCGATATTAATGGTATTGTTCTATGATTTCTGCATTTTGTGGGGTCACATTTTTTGAAATGTGCACAAATATGGATCTCTTCCAATTGTTTGAACAGGTAGCTATCAAATTTTTTGGCATACATGAGTGAGTGCCTCCAATGTTCCATCAGCGTATTGAAAGATTTCAATTAGTATTCTGTCAGTTCCTGGAGACTTCAGGGGGGAGGGGGCTTGCCAATGTTTTCAGTGCTTTGGACATCGTCTTCTAATATCATTGGTTCTTGACCATATGATACCTGTTGAAATGGTTGAACACCAGCTATTTCTTTTTGGTACAATGACTGTGTATACTTTCCATCTTCTTTTGATACTTCCTGCATCATTCAATATTATGTCCAAGAATCCTTCAGTAGCGCAAGTCAGGGCTTGAATATTTTCATCAGTTCTTTCAGCTAGAGAAATGCTGAGCTGAGCATGTTCTTTCCTTTCTGGTTCTGTAACTCCAGATCTTTGCACCTTTTATTGTAACACTTGCCTTTGTCTTCTCGAGCAACACTTTGAAATTCGCAGTTCAACTCTGATTTTCACAATTTTTTCAGTTTCTTTAGGTTCTCTACACTCAAGAGCAGGTTTGAACATCCCCTTAGTGGTTGCCTAGTTGTGATGTCATACCCTGAGAGTCTCAGACTGTAAATGTTCCTGTTTGTAATAGTTACCCTGCTTTCTGTAAGCCTCAAGTGCAAATGTGACACATGGCTGCTGCTGTCAATCATGTAGTAAGAGACTGTGTTCCCTGTGCCCTACGCAAGGTCAGTGTGTGGAGACTGAACCTTGGAAACTTATCATGGCATCTATGATTCCCCTCACCCGGTAGATTTCTGTTTGTCTTTGTCTTGTGTTAACTCTTGTCTAAGACTTAATAAAGAATCTTTATATTTGTAACAAAACAAACAAACAAAAAAGCAGGTTTCAGAGTCCCTTCTGACATTCATGCTGATCTTTTCTTTCTTCCCTGTTTTTTTAAAGACCTTCTACTTTCATTGTATATGATATTCTCAATGTCATCTACAACTCTTCTAGTCTTTGGTCATTAGTGTCTAATGCATCAAATCTGTTCCTGATGTGGTCTCTCAATTCAGGTGGGATATATTCAAGTTCTGGTGTGGCGCTGTGGATCAGCACTGGACTGCAAACCACAAGGTCAGCCGTTCAAACCCACCAGTTGCTCCTCAGAAACCCTATACAGGGTCGCTATAAGTTAACACTGAGTCAACAACACTTATGACTAACATATCCAAGATCAGACTTTGGTTCATATGGACTTGTTATCATTTTATTCAGCCTCAGTCTGAAGTTGCATATGAGCAACTGATGGTCTGTTCCATAGACCCCTAAGTTTGGGCTGATGATACGGGACTTCTTCATCATATCTTCCCACAGATGTAGTCTGATTCCTGTGAATTTCATCTGGTAAGGTCCATGTGCATAGTCATCTTTTATGTTGTTTAAGTTATTGGTCTTGCAAATTTCTATCATATGATTTCCAGCATTATTTTTATCACCAAGGCCACATTTTCCATCAACTGACTCTTCATCTTTGTTTCCAACTTTTACATTCCAATTACCAGTAATAATCAACGCATTTTGATCATATGTTTGATTAATTTCAGACTGAAGAAGTTAGTAGAATTCTTCAGTTCCATCATCACTGGGTTTAGTGGTTGGCAAATAAGTTTAAATAATAGTCACATTAACTGGGGAGGGGGGGGCAGGGCAGAGGAAATGAAAGGTATTTCTAAAGGGTAATCTAGGTTGAACATAATTCTATGTATAAACCCAAAAGAGGAATTCTGGGCTTTAATTACTAAGTGTCCCTGGTTCCCTACCCTAAGCAGAGCTCCTACTTGGGAAAAACTGATTAGGAGACACTGCTAAGGCTGGTTTCTTCTGTCCCTCATTTCTCCAAAGCATGGCTCAATGCCTTTTGAGAAAGGACACAAAGATACATGTCACTTTCCACACAGACCCAGCATTTTCCACACACTTTCCCCGTTAGTAATAGAGAAAAAATGTTGCCCTCATTAGAATTTTTCCACCCCATTTTGAACACAGAATGTCAGAATAGGCACTCACTGGGAAGTTAAAGTATGTCTGGTCCCTTTTCTGGAAAGTATTTCAAGCCTTTAAACACTGTGAAGTGATTTATGCTTGACACACAAAATCCCAACAGAAGAGTAATTCTTCTTGAGACACAGAAAAGCGCTCAAAAGTTCCAGTCAAGACAGCATTTTAACTCTCTCAGTAACAATGGTATTTCTGTTAGCAAAAGCCAAGGTAAGACTTTTCTCATTGACTCCAAGAAATTATATACTACAGGGGGATAGTCAGCAGAGAGTAATCTTTCAAGGCTCCATGTCTTCTTACGTATTAAAACGTGATCGGTGGAACAACAAGCTGGGAGATTAAGAAATGGCGTCAATCCAAGTAATAAAGCAAACCCACATCGACAGTGTATCTGCATATGGACCAAACATGTGTGAGCCTCTTATTCAAGTAAACACCATCTTCAAAGGAAGGGAGTGAGAATCACAACCATCTCATCTGACGGCTATCAGCCCAACAACCAGAAACCTGGTGGGCCTGAGGGAGGCTGTCAGAAGTTCAGACACTTCAGGTATCAGTCCAAACACTTCGGCTAGGTGACCTTGGTGGACGAGTTCCTTAACCCCTTCAAGCTTCTACTTTTTCATCTATAAAATGGAAAAGTCACCCACATTGCAGCTTTGTTGTGAGAGGTGAATTACCAGTAGGCAAAGTGCCCGTCTCCTTGTAGGGCTCAGTAAGAGGTAACTTTTTGGTGTTGAGTACCACTGAGTCAGTTCCGACTTATAAAGCCCCTATAGTATAGTGTTGCCAAGAAGCAGCTGGTGAGTTTGAATAGCTGACCTTGTAGTTCAAACCGACCTTGAGATCCAGTGCTTTATCCTACCGTGCCACACCAGGGCTCCAAGAGCTGAGTAACTAGCATTCCTATTATTCAACTTTTTAAAAAAGTTCATGCAAGAGTTTAAATGTCAACTTTGCTAGCTTCCTAAAGGTACAGAACCTCGCCCTAAACAAATCTGAATCCCGGGGGAATTCTATGAACAGCTCACCAAAAATGTCATGCACATATAAATACATAAAATACTAGAATAGTCTTGGTGACTTTTTTTTTTTTTCCATAACTACCAAGTTTTTTTTTCCAACTTTTCAACTTACTGGTTTATATTTACAACATATCTGATGACATTAAACATTAAATGAACTAAATTAACATCAGTTCCAAAGATCTGCTCCTGGATTTTCATTAAAGGAATTCTTTAGATCAGAGCTAATTTTTCAGTTTTCAGATCTGTGCTCCTTAATCATCAAATCTCACAGTAATGTATCATAAAAGAGCACACCGTACATCAGGAAGGACAGTAATAGCTACCATCTGTGCCAAGCAGTGCCATATTTATCACTTTAATTGTTGCATCTACTCTATGAGATGGGTATAGTTCTTTCTATTTTACAGAAGAGGAAATTTACTATTCGAGGCATTCACTGTACTTCTAAGCTATTAAATACAAATCACATACTTTTGCCAACTGTGCAAATCCATTCTTCCTCCACCCCCAACACTACACTTCACCTTTAAGTTATCTTCATAATCATTAAATGCAGGAAAATACAGTAAACATTTTGCACAGGACACATAGCTGGGAAGTTATAGATAGAGGCTTTGAGTTCAGGTCAGTCTGATTCCCAAACATACGCTCTTGGGCCAAATGGGATATAAGTAAACTGTGATGTATACTCAACCTTGGAACAACGAGACTCTGTGATACAGTGATTGAGACATAGACTGAATGGGTAAAGAAAGGGAAATAAAGTTAAGGTGCTTGAGTGTCTTGTGAATATTGCCTTCCCCTGCCTACTACTGCAAAATAAAGACATTTATTAATGAGATAGAAAGGAATCTTAGGAAATAAGATTACAGAAAGCTTGTAAGCTGGTCTCCAGCCTGTAACTGATTGAATTAGCTAAAAGGGGTACGTGAATTTGCACAGGGAAATAGGCTTCTTGTTAAGTCTTTGCAGAGTATGTGGCCTTGGGTGGAATCCTGAGTCCCACCCAAAACCTTCTGAGGTGGGACATTCCCACTCAAAAGGACATGCAGACCAACCCAGAGTAGCTAGAGGAAGATAGTTCATGAAAGAAGACCGGGGGTGGGGGGGTCGGGAGGGAAAGCAGACTGTTTGGCTGTTAAAAGATAAAGCAAGTTATTCACCTTGGAGCCAACAAGGCAAGAAAAGTCAGGCCATCAGGGTAAATCCCCTTCTTCTAAGTCTGGAACTCTTGAGCAGCCTTATAAGCTCGCTGGTGACTGCCCTGGTCTACTTGTGAGTGAAAGTGGGGGAAATGCAGCAATGAAGACATGGGCTGAGTTTGGCCAGGTTCCATAGACACCGGAAGATCTCGAGATGAGAGAGATAAGAGGAAGAGCTGGCTGGTCTGAAGTTTAGGGAGACATGTGAACTCCTTAGCCCAAGGACACTGACCTAGCCACAGGAGGCTAGAATTGAGAGTGAAGTGCCCAACAGGTCTGAAGTGGGGGAAGGCATATGAGAACTCCCAAACTTGCAGACAGTACCCATTTGACCTAGCTTAAATAGCTTGCTGACCAGAACTCGACCAGATGCAGATAAAGAAGTTTGATACAGGGTACAAACGTAAATTGCTACAACTTAATGAGCTGGACCTTGGCTTATGGATGTAGTTATTCAAAATTCCAACTGAAAGAAAAGGATTCTTCATATCAAGGATCAAGCTTGCCTCCTCAGTATACTAGGCTGATAGCAACAGTCAAATTATGACAGTGACTACCAAAAATGGGGGTTATAAAGGCATGAAGTGACTGGCTTACAAGTTTTCACAAGTGTGTTTAGTTTCAGAACAAGGTGGGTACGGTAGAATCACCACTGAATAGTTTTCCTCTTGTCCAGATGGGTTCAATGAAAGGGGATGAGGGAAGACAGGAATAGGATTTTATGATTCAATAGTGAGTATTGTTATCATGATTAATTGTGATTGTCACAACTATAGTTAACCTCTCATTTCAGGAACAGAGGACCCTAGAACTATGAGTGGAGCATGGGATCCTACCTAGAAAGTGGCAACAGCAGAGACAGAGGCAGAGGTGATGGCAGAGAGAGATAAAGCAGTTGAGGACTCTATACCCATGGAATAAGAAAGACTGTGTGCCTGTGGGCAGGAGGTTGGTTGGCTTACAAAAATGTGTCCTTTGGACATTTAAATGAATATATATTTTCTGTGTGGTATATGTGCATCAAAAAAAAAAAAAAGGAATAGAGGTAAATACTGTTAACTGATGGTACATGAAGGGGATTGTAATCATTACAATGAAACAAAATATGATTTATGGAACGTAAATCTGACAACCTGCCCTATAAACTTTTACTCAACAGACAACAAAACAAAACAAGATATGCTCTTGCCACATACAATACTGACTCTCATAATACCAGGAAGAAAAGCTCTTTATACACAGAGAAGTGAGTCAGCAAAGTAATTTAAGTGAATAAATAGGTAATTCAAGTCTAAATCACCCTTCCTTCCATTATTTGTATAGGCCAAAAGTTTGGGTGGTTTTTGGTTTTTTTCATTCTTTCTTAACTGGGATAATTTCTTCCTTTTCTAAGTTCTTCTTTTTTAAAAAAACAAAACACAAAACAGTTTAGAGCTTACAGGGAACAAGGAAGTTTACTTTGAGGACCTGGCTTAATTGTGCATTACATTTTTTTTTCCCCCTTAAAGCAACAGAGACATCTTTTGGCCAATAAATGAAACTACAAGATTACAGACACATACAGCAATAATATACAGTACATTAAACTGCTAGGACTCCTGGTGCGGTGCTGTAGGATCAGCATTGGACAGTGAACCACAAGGTCAGCAGTTCAAACCTAACAGCTGCTCCTCGAAAACCCTATACAGGGTTGCTATGAGTCAGAATCGACTCCACAGCACTTAGAAGAACAACAAACTCTTGTTCTACCAGCTGTTCCAAGGGAGAAAGATGAGGCTTTCTGCGCCCGTAAAGATTTACAGCCTCGGAAACCCTAGTCAGGGTCGCTATGAGTCAGAACTGACTCCACGGCACATAACCAACAACAAATGTTCTTAAGCCAAGGTGAACTTAGCCCTGCTGGCCACAAAAGGAAACGTCTCAACAAAGAAAGGCAGAGTTTCTGGGGCTGGATCCTACTACCTGAAATGAAGTTCAATCTGAATGGATCCTTGGGCAGTGCTGCTGGTCTTAGAAGGCTGAAAGATGCAGTTGAACACATTTGTCACGCCAGGGCTTGTCTTCTGACCAGTGTAGCGGGTGTCAAAAGCCATCATGGAATGGGAAACCAAGTTAATGGACTTGGTTTGGTTGGAAAAACTCTCATAGAGCAATTTACATTTCTTGAAATCAAACCTAAGAGGCAAAAAGTAAATAAGATGTTAAACATCTATCTTCCAATTTGCAAAATAATGTAAGATCAAGGAGAAAACACAACAAAACCATAAAAATATCAAAGTTCTATGAAGAAGAATAGTTTTCATTCAAAGATCTTTCATTGATTTTGTTATAAGACCGATCAAAATGATTGCGTTTTGTTGGTCCTGGTTTCCTTTCCATTCTCAAAGATGATCTTGTCCATAGGAGCTTCATGGGAACAATAATACCACATATTTATTATACTTTGGTTCATCTGCATTCTTATTTTCCATCATAAATCTAAGGCAGTCATATATCTGTAATAATCCCCATATTCTTTCTAGTTCCTCTGGAGTTCAAAATACAATTGCTTTTTTAACGTATCAAGGGACCCTTACATCAAGAAATTGTTTTCCTTTCTTAGGCTTTCAGCATCAGGTCTTTCCTCTATAGACAACTAGAGACTTTCTGACTTACCCTCACGCATACAGAATCTTCTGTGAAGATTCTGCCTCCAAGCAGTCTGGAATTTTGAAGTGAGACCACTATAGCTTACTAAGAACAATCAGAACAAATGATGCTCTTCATATAGAGAAATCATACAACAGGAAATGCATTTGGAACTCCCTTTTTAAAAGTAAGGAAAGCAAGAGTAAGCAATTCATACTTAATAAAATCATGGCAATCTGAGGCTAGGTCAAAAAGTACCACTACTAAGTTTCCAGTTCATACAATACACAGGTATATGCCAAATAAAACATGCTTAAACACCTTTGCGATCAGTGGATGGAAGTCAACAAATTCTCTAAGTAATATCTTAGTGTCATTACAGTGCATTCAAAATAAAAACGTCAAGTCAAAAGAGTGGCTGTGGAGGGGATCTGTTGGGCCAGTTTACTTCATGGCTAAGAGGTCAGTTCAAAGGGCTATTGTGGCTATTTGGGGGGTTCTCAAAGGCATTATCTTAAAAGATTTTCAAGAAGGACACAGGTCGATCATAAGGGTTTATAAGTATGCAGTTTTAAGAAAATGGAAAACCTCATTGATGAGGAAAAGGCCAGGAAAGCTGTGTACAAGGACATTTTTTTTCTATCATGACAACACACCTGTTCATTCTTCAAGGATAGCAAGGGCTGTCCTTGTCCTATCAGAATTTTACTAGGAAACTTATCCACTCTAAAATCCTTATCTTGTTCTTTCAGAATTTTTCTTCCCAGAACTCAAAGAACAATCAAAGGAACATGATATGAATCCCTTGAGGATGCCAAAACGGCCATTTTAACGTACTACAAATTGGAGAATGCAGAATTCTTTGGGGACGGGTTACAGATATGGAAACACTGGCTTCGTACAGTGGCACTGTGGGTTAATGAGCTGGACAGCAAGGTCACTCTGAACCACAAGGTCAGTGGTTCAAGCTCACCAGCTGCTCCTTGGAAACCTTATCAGGGTTGCTATGGGTTGGAACCTACTCAACAGCACTTAACAACAACAGATGAGAGATATTTTATGTAATGATAACTTTTTTGTTTCTATAATTTTATAGCAAAATTTTAACTTACCCTCATTTTAACTATTTAAATATTTTAACTTACCCTCATGCATACAGAATTATGAGCCTTTATCTGTGTTGATAAAAGCTAAGACATAGCCAATCATCAGGGAAAAAAGCTGGATCACTAATCAGTCTGGTACCCCAAGTTCACTGTACCACACTCTGATGAAGTGAGTTAGATACAGACCATAGCAGACGTTCAAAACAAAATAAACAAAACAGAAGCCACTGTGACTCAGTGGGGAAGACACTAGCCTTGAAGTCCTCTTTTCAAACACTGGGTCTACCACTAATTATTATTATTATTATTATTATTATTATTATAGTCAAAATTTTATCTGTAAAAGAGCGGTATTATCTATTTGCTATCTTACAGGACTATTAAGAAATAAAAATGAAAAATAAGCTTACTGTGTGTGAAAATGTTCTGCAATCTCTGAGGTGCTATACTAGCATTACAACCTCATGTCACACTGTGGTCAGTGTGGCATGAATAAGTAAATTGCTAAGTATGCACAAGGCTTACCCACAGGAGCAGTTGCTGCTCAGCTTCCAGATACTTCCGAGTCAGAATGCAATCGAGTTTGCTCTGATTTATAGCCACCCTTATGCACAACAAATCAAAACACTGCACCATCCTCACAATCATTACATTTGAGCCCATTGTGGCTGATACTGTGTCAATCTATCATATTGGGGGTGACTTTTTGCACTGACCCTCCACTTTTCCAAGCATGTCTTGACTTTTCCAGGGACTGGTCCCTTCTGTTACCAGGTACAAAGTATAAGAGAGGATGTCTCCCAAGGAGCATCTGTCTGTACTTCTTCAAAGACAGATTTGTTTTTTCTTCTAGTAGCTCATGGAACTTTCGATCATTGTTGTTACATGCTGTCCAGTCGGTTCCAACTCATAGCAACCCTGTGTAGGGTTTCCAAGGAGCAGATGGTGAACTTGAACCACTGACCTTGTGGTTCAAGCTGACTTTGCAGTCCAGCACATTAGTCCTCAGCGCCACACCAGGACTCTTCCTTATGAACTGCCCTACTTACACATGCATGTAAGACAACTAAAATACCATGGCTTGGCTCAGGCACACCTTAGCCCTCAAACTTACATCCTTGCTCTTTACACTTCTTTAAAAAAGTCTTTTGCAGCAGACTTGCCTAATGCAGTATGTCATTTAATTTCTTTGCTGTTTCTGTGAGGGTTGATTGTGAACCAAATTAAAATTAAGTCTGACAAATCCAATTTTTTCTTTTGTGGCAATTTTTGTTTTCTTGACATTGAAGTACAATCCAGACTGAAGACTGGAGTCGTTGACCTTCTTTAGCAAATATTTTAAGTCTTCTTCACTTCTAGCAAGCAAGGCTGTATCATCTGCATGTCGCAGGCTGTTAATGAGTCTTCTTCTAATCCTGATGTCATGTTCTACTTTACATACAGATTGAAAAAGTATGGTTAAAGGATGTAACCCTGGCGCACACCTTTCCTGATTATATCCTCATGTTCTGTTTCAACGACCGCCTCTTGGTCTCTGTACAGGTTTCTCATGAGCACAATTTTAAGCTCTGTGGAACCCTCTCACTTCACAATGTTATAGCTATGATCCACACAGTCAAATGTCTTTGCATAGTCAATAAGGCGCAAGTACACATCTTTCTGGTATTTCTGGTTTCCGCCAAGATCCATCAGACGTCAGCAATGATATCCCTCATTCCATGTCCTCTTCTGAATCCAGTGTGAATTTCTGGCAGCTCCCCATTGATGTACTGCTGCAAATGTTTTTGAATTACCTTCAGCAAAGTTTTACTTGCATGCGATATTAATGGTATTGTTCTATGATTTCTGCATTTTGTGGGGTCACATTTTTTGAAATGTGCACAAATATGGATCTCTTCCAATTGTTTGAACAGGTAGCTATCAAATTTTTTGGCATACATGAGTGAGTGCCTCCAATGTTCCATCAGCGTATTGAAAGATTTCAATTAGTATTCTGTCAGTTCCTGGAGACTTCAGGGGGGAGGGGGCTTGCCAATGTTTTCAGTGCTTTGGACATCGTCTTCTAATATCATTGGTTCTTGACCATATGATACCTGTTGAAATGGTTGAACACCAGCTATTTCTTTTTGGTACAATGACTGTGTATACTTTCCATCTTCTTTTGATACTTCCTGCATCATTCAATATTATGTCCAAGAATCCTTCAGTAGCGCAAGTCAGGGCTTGAATATTTTCATCAGTTCTTTCAGCTAGAGAAATGCTGAGCTGAGCATGTTCTTTCCTTTCTGGTTCTGTAACTCCAGATCTTTGCACCTTTTATTGTAACACTTGCCTTTGTCTTCTCGAGCAACACTTTGAAATTCGCAGTTCAACTCTGATTTTCACAATTTTTTCAGTTTCTTTAGGTTCTCTACACTCAAGAGCAGGTTTGAACATCCCCTTAGTGGTTGCCTAGTTGTGATGTCATACCCTGAGAGTCTCAGACTGTAAATGTTCCTGTTTGTAATAGTTACCCTGCTTTCTGTAAGCCTCAAGTGCAAATGTGACACATGGCTGCTGCTGTCAATCATGTAGTAAGAGACTGTGTTCCCTGTGCCCTACGCAAGGTCAGTGTGTGGAGACTGAACCTTGGAAACTTATCATGGCATCTATGATTCCCCTCACCCGGTAGATTTCTGTTTGTCTTTGTCTTGTGTTAACTCTTGTCTAAGACTTAATAAAGAATCTTTATATTTGTAACAAAACAAACAAACAAAAAAGCAGGTTTCAGAGTCCCTTCTGACATTCATGCTGATCTTTTCTTTCTTCCCTGTTTTTTTAAAGACCTTCTACTTTCATTGTATATGATATTCTCAATGTCATCTACAACTCTTCTAGTCTTTGGTCATTAGTGTCTAATGCATCAAATCTGTTCCTGATGTGGTCTCTCAATTCAGGTGGGATATATTCAAGTTCTGGTGTGGCGCTGTGGATCAGCACTGGACTGCAAACCACAAGGTCAGCCGTTCAAACCCACCAGTTGCTCCTCAGAAACCCTATACAGGGTCGCTATAAGTTAACACTGAGTCAACAACACTTATGACTAACATATCCAAGATCAGACTTTGGTTCATATGGACTTGTTATCATTTTATTCAGCCTCAGTCTGAAGTTGCATATGAGCAACTGATGGTCTGTTCCATAGACCCCTAAGTTTGGGCTGATGATACGGGACTTCTTCATCATATCTTCCCACAGATGTAGTCTGATTCCTGTGAATTTCATCTGGTAAGGTCCATGTGCATAGTCATCTTTTATGTTGTTTAAGTTATTGGTCTTGCAAATTTCTATCATATGATTTCCAGCATTATTTTTATCACCAAGGCCACATTTTCCATCAACTGACTCTTCATCTTTGTTTCCAACTTTTACATTCCAATTACCAGTAATAATCAACGCATTTTGATCATATGTTTGATTAATTTCAGACTGAAGAAGTTAGTAGAATTCTTCAGTTCCATCATCACTGGGTTTAGTGGTTGGCAAATAAGTTTAAATAATAGTCACATTAACTGGTTTTCCCTGTAGGCATATCGATACTACCCTATCACAGACAGCACTGTACTTCAGGATTGTTCTTGAAATCTTTCTTGTTTTTTTATGATGATGCAACTCCTCTCTGACATTCCTGGCATAGTAAACAATACGATCATTTGATTCAAAATAACCAATAGCAGGCCATGTCGGCTCAATGTTGTTGTTAAGTGCTATCAAGTCGGTTGTGAGTCATAGTAACCCTATAACAGGGTTTCCAAAAGCTATCCATCTTTGCAGGAGCAGAAGGCCTTATCTTTTTCCCATAGAGTGCCTGGGGGGCTAGAACCACCAACCTGTGGTTCGGAGTACAGTGTTTATCCTACAGAGCCACCATTTTCCCTTTCAGCTCACTAATGCCTAGGATATCAATCTTTATGCGTTTTTCATTTCACTTTTGATAACTTCCCTATTTCCTAGATTCATTCCTTGTAAAGTACATGTACTGACTATTTATGGCTGTTTGCAGCTGTTTCTCCTCATTTTGAGTTGTGCGTCATCAGCAAATGAAGGTCCTGACAGCTTTGCTCTATTTATCTCGCTGTGGTCAACTCTACTTTGAGGAAGGAGCTCTTGCCTAGTTGTATTTTGAGTGACTTCTAGCCTGAAGGGCTTCAATGCCATGAACTTGGAGGAAAGAACACATCTTTGTTGTTTAAAGCCACTGAAAAGTGTAGGAGAATGACTTGGCAGTCTACCTCTGTAAAGACGGCACCCCTGGAAATCCTATGAGGCAGTTCTACTCTGTCCTGTAGGCTGGCTCTGAGCTGGAACTGATAAGACAGCAGCGGGTATAATTACAGCATAACCCACCCCATATCTTGACTGATGCAGCAAGGAATTTAAACTTAGAAACACTGTGTACAGTAGTAATCCAGCTACTCTGCAGCTCCCATTCCACCTGAGAACCACCACTCGGCAACCTCTGCTCTTCACTAATGCAAAAAGATATTTTGTATTATTAATACTGCTCTTACCATTTTATAATAGTAAAATAGTATCAGTAAAGCCATACCTGGCTAAGGACCCTGAACTTTCTTTTCCTTTTGGATCTTTAAGCTCCAGACTCACATTCACCATATCAATGAGGAAACACATGCAAGTGTACACTTCTCCACTCAGTACAGTCTGCAACAAGAAAACAAGGATCAATTTCTCAGTGAGGAAGCCAACTTGAAAACGGGGTAACTAGGGCAAGAAATTGAATTTGCTTGTTCTACCTGTGAGAGCTACAGAACAACGTAAGATCTCACTCACGTGAATTCTTGGGTCTTGTAAATCATAAGGCCGCATAAACTCCTCTATGGGCTCTCCAAGGTTGTTCTCTAATAAGCCACGGATCAGTTTGTACTTATATAAATCCAGGGAGCAGTGGACTGAGGATAGGTTGCCATGGATAGATATATCTGGCACAGTATGACTTATTTCTCTGTGGAAAAGAGGAATGGTCGCTTTCACAAACAAATTACGAGCTCGACAGTGACATACCCACATAAACCCATTGATGTCAGGTCAATTCTGACTCACAGCGACCCTACATAGGGTTTCGAGGTTATAAATCTTTACGGGAGCAGGCAGCCTCATCTTTCTCAAGGTCAGCAGTTCAAACCCACCAGCCATTCTGCAAGAAGAAAGATGAGGCTGTCTACTCCTATAATGATTTACAATCTCAGAAATCCTAAACAGGATCGCTATGAGTTGGAGTTGACTTGATGGTAGTGATTGTTTGGTTTGGTAAAAATTGTTGCTGTTAGGTGCCGTGGAGTCGGTACCGAAACATAGCGACCTTATGCACAGCAGAACAAAACGCTGCCCAATCCTACTATGCTCTAAATAGATAAAACAGAGGGTTAGGTTTTGAAATGGAAGAAAAATTTTAAAAAATCACTTTGTCTGTGGTGGTAGTGGTGGTTGTGTGCCGTGGAATCAGTTTTGACTCTCAGTGACCCTGCATAGGGTTTCCGAGGTTGTAAAATCTTTATGGGAGCAGAAAGCCTCATCTTTCTCCCATGGAACGGCTGGTAGTTTCGAACTGCTGACCTTGAAATTAGCAGCCCGACTTGTAACCACTATAAGAAATTAAAGGCAGCCAATGATGCAATCAACAAAACACTAGAAGGGTCTACCAAGTACATTTCTGTGATGTGAGAACTTCTTGTGTTCAATACCACCTTCTATCTGGCCTAGCACAGCACACTTGTACACAAATGGTAAATGAAGTAGGTAACATTTAGGTAAGGATAATAGCAAGTAATGCTTGAAAAGAAAACCAAGTGTTCACTTTCTAAATAACGAAGCTGCTCTTAAGATTGCTCACGCAGTGAACCAAATATAGCCCAGGCCAATCATAACTCAACACCTGCCAGGGAGCACTAGAAAAAGAAAAACAATTACAACCATCTCTGGGAGAAGAGCGAAACTGTCATTAATCCAGAGAAACTAAAAAAAGTGACATTAAATAACTTGCCCAAATCCAAGAACTGTGAAGGGAGCACCCAGAGAAGGATAAAGTCATACTTACGCAACTAATGAGGTTGACTTCCAAAATGGCAGAAAAGAAAATCTCTTTCATTACTTTATAGTCACATCTCATCCTTCCTAGAGCTGGGACATAAACACTGCTGCTTCCTCCACAATTAAAGCCTCAAGTTCTCACATACACTGAAACTAGTGGTTTCCCACCCCAGCTCAGGCAAAAGGACCACTGCAGGACACTGTAAAGTTCAACACGCTTGAACATCAGCCCTGAGAGGGAGCCCTGGTGGCACTGTAGGATAAGCACTGGATTGCTAATCGCAAGGTCAGTGGTTCAAACCCACGTGCTGCTCCAAGGGAGAAAGATGAGGCTTTCTGCTCCCACACAGATTTACAGCCTCAGTAACCCTATACACAGGGTTGTTACGAGTCAGAATCGACTCAATGGCAGTGCGCCTGGTTCGTTTGAGCCCATCCTGAGAGTCAGCCAGATCCTTATGGTCTCAGGTAGAGTTTGGAAATGTGGATTTTGACAAAGTTCCTCAGCCAGGTATAACATAATGACAACTGAAGCAAGGCTGTCAACTCTAAAATAGGCATCCTGTGTATCAAGGCCAATTAATATGTAAACTAGTTCCAGGTTCTCTAGTATCATGGAGCACTCTCCATAGCTACCTGGGGGGAGGTGGGCACAACTGCACCTGAGCAGTTAGATGGACTAAATGAGGTTCAGCATCAATAGCAATAGCAGGTCCAGGAGCCGCTGTATGTGGCACACATAGTCCAATGCCACCTCTTCAAGAACACTTTCCCTGCCCTTACTATCCACCAGATTCAGGGCCCTTCCTCTTGTTTCCATAGCACCTGATGCCGTCTTCTATAACAAGCTTTTAATGCAGACTCTCGTAATAGGACCACCTACTTGCATTCCTATACCCTAAACAGAACGGAACTTCCTTAGAACAGAACTTTTTTGTTGTTTGTTGTTGTCGTGTGCCGTTGAGTCAGTTCCGACTCATAGCAACCCTATGTAGGGTTTCCAAGGAGAGGCTTGTGGGTTTGAACCACTAATCTTAAGGTTTAGCACACCAGTAAAGTGCTTATCCTACAGCACTATACCAGCACGTTGTTGTTAAGTGCCACTGAGTCTGTTCCAACTGAGAGTGACCCGATACAGGATGTCCAAGGAACAGCTGGTGGGTCTGAACCGCCGATCTTGTACTTAGCAGTCCTGCACTTATCCTACAGCGCCTCACCAGACATAGTGGGGATTAAACATTTGTGAAATAGATCAACAAGTGACTACCTGTGTTCTTTCAGATTTACCATAATAGCAAATTTCCTTACTCACTAGTTTCCAAGTTATTAAGAATTTACTTACAAGAGGCTCAGATGTAAAATACTTACTTATCCAAATTCCTTTCCACCTGCAGTTTCAGCCTGCACGGCTCAGTTAAGAGGCTTCCTCCTGTCTGCCGTACAAAATAGGAGGGGAAGATGAGGTCACCACTGTCATTCTGGGATGTCTTAGAGTACTCTCGTGGACGCCTCTCTGCAGCAAAGATGTCCATGTCCTGCAGGTCTACAACAATGCAATCCAGCAGACAGACATGCTCTTCTACAGGAACCCAAGAAGAGAGAGATGGTTAAGAAGACAGGACCCACAAAAGGACGGCCCTGAACAAAACCCCAAAAGCCAAATCAAGCCTCTTCTGTTTCTAGAAAACATTTAGCACTGCTTGTCTCCCCCTCCTTACCACTACCCACCCACCATCTTGAAAACAGGCTGTCCAGATATCTAGCCCAAGACCTCCCTAGGCAATGCTCCATGTGTTTGCTGTTTCCTGACTGGCTGGCCTCCACACCAACACACATTCTGACACACGGTCTCCCCTCAGTGTCTCATCCCTATCATGGAACCTAATATAAGGCTAAAGTGCTCATGACTAAAAATGACAACACACAAGCCGTCCCTCCCAAGTATATCAACAGGAGTCTCAAGTAGAGACTGAACACTCTTTTCAGCAGTACAATTCATTTTTCAAACAAATATTACATGTAACCGTTTCTTCTGCCACTGATCTGTTTCAAACCATATGCAGTCTTGCCTATTATTGTTGCTAAGTGCCATCGAGTTGGTTCCAACTCATAGTGACCCTGTATAAGGTTTCCCAAGGAACAGCTAACCTTGCAGTTAGCAGTCCAGTGTTTATCCTACAAAGGCATCATCCAATATACCTTCTTCATTTTACTATCCCCACAAGAAAAAACTGAGTAAAGTAATCCTTGAAGGGATAAATCCAACCATTCCTTCCCTTCCATTGTACACTTTAATGGCTATGTTGAATCTAAAATTCTTCATGCAAAATTCTCTCTTCAGATCCCTGGAATGCATTCATTTGATGCCATTCTCCCCTTGCTCATTAAATATGATTTGAATTCCTCTCTGGTCATTCCCTTCATAGTTCTTGGTTTGGGAAAGTCCCTGAGCATCACTGTTTTATTTCCTCTCTGGATTAAAGATACAATTTAGTTATTCTCACTGGATATCTACGCTTCATTCTTCCCCTGGCCTTTGTTTGTTTCCCCCAAAATGCCCAACTCAATGCTGCCTAGAAAGTCTCATGGGTGGCATGGCCTTCCCATCCCACTCTACACTGGGTCTCTGTTCCTTTGTCTGACACTATTCCATCTTCCCCACCTCATAACACTTTTCACAAGCTATATTTTAAGTGTCTCTATATCATGTCTTTCCTAGAAATCCGTAAATTTTACACTGGTAAGATTCTGTCTAGGCTTGCATATTAATAGACCAGGGATATTAATATTATAACAAATTATACAACATCTGACATTAAGCGGACACTGAATACATAGCTCTTGAATGGCTGATGATATTAATAAGTAGATCCAAATGCTGTAGATATGGTAAAAGGGAGAGGGAACAGGGATCAAGGGCATCAGCAATTCCCTGGGGACACAGAAAAGCAATCGCAACACTTTAATCTAAGGCAATGGACCCCTAACAGGGGAATTCCAGAAAGAAGGAACAGCCTTCCTACTTATTTATGGTGCCCTGTACCTCTCAAGGTGGGGTGCTGTAGGATAAGTACAAGACCTCAAGGTCGGTTTGAACCACAAGGTTGGCGGTTCAAACTCACCAGCCTTGGAAACCCTGTACTGGGTCACTATGAGTCAGCACTGACAAGACAGCACTTCACAACAACATAACTCTCAAGGAGTCCTGGTAGTACGCTGCAGGATAAGCACTGGACTGCTAACCACAAGGCTGGTGGTTCCAATGCACCAGCCCCTCCTCAGAAGCCCCTTCTATACAGGGTCATTATGAGTTGGAAAGGACTCAACAGCACTTCACAACAACTCTCAAAGTCCAGCCACAATGAACTGATCTTCATGGTCCATCACATTGTTTCCCCTCTTTCCTTTCCTTTCTCTCAACCCTTCAAAATGCATTTAAAAACAGAAAGGCCCAAATTAGGCTCTTGTTTGGAATGGCTACTTTGTATAGACTAGAGAAGAACGCTCACGCATGGATGTTAAATGCCTTTTCAAAACTATTACAGGTAAGATTTCTGTTGTTAGCTAACTCACACTAATTTTTAAGGGTCCTTTTTTGGGTTTTATTATTATTGTCTGCACAGCAGCTTAATCACTCTACTTAAACTTTCACCATCTAGTAGCAACTATCCTGAGCTGTAAGAAAAAGTCCTAACAGACAAGCTAAAAACCTCTTTATACAAACTGCGTCTTGAAAATTTAACCCAACTTTGTGGTGGTTGTAGTGAAGTGCCATCAAGTCGGTTCCGACTCATAGCAGCCCTGTATAAGGGTTCCAAGGAGCAGCTGATGGGTTTGAACCGCTGACCTTGTGGTTCGCAGTCCAGTGCTGATCCTACAGCGCCCCCCAGGAGTCCTGAACTGCTAAATCTAGATCCTACAGCTTTTATACACTTTCCAAAACCCAAACTCAAACCAACTGCCATTGATTTTGATTCACGGCAACCCGCTAAGACAGAGGAGAACTGCTCCATAGGATTTCCAAGACTGTAAATCTCTACAGGAGCACACAGCTTCATCTTTCTCCCACAGGCCTTCCAATGGAGGCTTTCACAAAAGAAATGCCAGCTCTGTGTCAGGTTTTCACAAAAGAAATGCCAGCTCATTGTCGGCATCTCCTTGTACATAACACATCCCCCCAAAGGCGCCTGGAACAGTCTCGTAAGTCTCCCACCCTCCTTACCTGGACTTTTTTACCCTCCTCTTTTACCTGGACTACTGGACATTTGGCAGACAGAGGGTGTGGCTTGTTGCCCTGGCTGCATGGTGGCGGTACTTGGCAGAAACTCACTCTTCAGGCAGCCTAAACCCATTCCAGCAGGTTTCATGAAGAGCCCCTCCGAATGGGTCGCCCTGGAGTCCTCTGCGCTTGTCATTTTCCTCATACTGTGTTTGGGAGTACACACTGGGGAAGGTGAAGGGGCAGATTCCTGGGAAGAAGAATGGTTGAGGGTGAGAGGACGGGGTAACGGAAACTTTAAAATTTGGCGAGTTCCAGACCCGAGGATCTTCACAGACTCCCAGCAGGGCAACAAATCCATGACGTTTACTGTCACATGTACTACTTTGCAAAGATGTTACACACACAACTCAACACCCATTACAAACTATAGTAATTTTGCAGGAAGATAGCTTTTGAATGAAGATCTAATTGTCTCAGGTACTTTAATCTAAGCTGAATGCCTTAAGAGCAAATCTCTCGTCTGTATGGTATATTGTTGCTTTCCTTAGAGGGCTTATCTTTTTAAGAAAATGTATCTAACAGCATTATGGTTCAAGTAAAGTTAGGCCATAAAAATGTTCTTGCAGTGTCTAGAAGTTTCCATTCATGGACGATACCTTCTCAGCTTTTTAATTAAGTGTGGAAATGGAAAACACAGGAGCTTAGCCCTATTATGTTTCTGTTTAAGAGCATAAAAATGAACAGCTAATACAGAAAAAACAAGCCTCTTAAAGCTACTGAAAATACTCCTTGTTTTTTTTTTCACCTACTTTGTACCTTCAGTTAATTGCTAACAGTGTAAGTCTACTTCCTCAGAATGATTCACGTAATTGACTTTTAAACTTCCCAAGGCATCTTCACCCAACTCTCAGAGCTCCCCGTCTGTACAGCTTCTCATCTATCCAGTTGGGAGCAGGGAAAGAACCGTTCTCTCTCCAGAGCTGCCTAATATGCCCGTGGCTTCCAGCTTTGAAAAAGGAGATGTGATTATATTGCTCTCCTTCACAGATACCTAGAGTAGTAATTACAGACAAGAGGAAAAGAAACTCGTTCTTACTGTCTGCCAAAATTTTTTTTTTTTTAATGGGGGGAGGGGGAGAGTGAAGATAAATTACTAGGTAAATGCTATTACCGCATTTAAGTATTTCCACATCAAAACCTTCCTTCTGCTTTGTTGCTCTCTGATTTGATTCATCTCTTCAGTCTCTCTGTAGAGGGTTTCAATAAATCAATGACTTGAGAAGATTAACCTAATGCTTTTGAGAGAAAGCTGACTTATAGATTATGATTTAAACTCAAACTATGGTTGAGAAGAATGAAAGGAAAGGCTCTGTAAAACATTCCAATCTGGAGTGATTAAAACATGGATTTTATGCAAAAGCATTCCAAACACACGGGAGTCTTGGAACACAAGGGTAAATAACCAGTCTGCAAGCTTTGATTTCAGATGATTTCCTGTTCTTTAACCACTGGACTATAGATTAGACAAACCTCACACATGCAAATGTATTCAAGGACAAACGCAAACGCAAAGTGATCTTTGGGAAAGAAGGCAATGATTCACTTTATATAGACTGCATTCCTGGTGTGGCGTTGTAGGATACACTGGACCACACGTCAGTTTGAACCACAAGGTCTGTAGTTCAAACTCACCAGCTGCTCCTTGGAAACCCTACACAGGGTTGCTATGAATGGACACTTAACAACCACAACAACAAACATCAGTTTAGGCTGACTGTATAGGTGGAGAGGTAAGATATGTTCATGTGATCACAAATACTGTAACAAGCAAAACACTTCAAGCAACCCTTATGGAATTCTACAGGACAACCACTGATACATAACAAGATCAAGTTTTTCTAAGATTTCCGGAAAGAAAGTAACATCACCAAGAGAGTAGGACCTAGGGTTAAAAAAAATTAAGAAATGGTCCTTAAGAAGGATTTCTCTAAAAGGGAGGCAAATAATTCATACCAAAAACATTGATAAGCAGGTTTCTTAAATAATGAAATACTTTGAAGGCTTATTCTTGGTTTTATTTTTATTTTTTTTAAAGCATATAAAATGTGAATTGGCTGCTGAATCCCATAAGGTTTTCAAAATAACCAGGAGGCAAAAAAGCAGTATTATACCTTGAAGAAAAAGTGATCCTTATGCGCACTGCCACTTAAAATCAAATCCTCAAAAAACAAGTACAGGGAAATGTTCTCATTAAAACGCTATAACCTATGAACTGTCATTTATTTTACTTAACATAACAGAAGCGCCTCTGCAGAAATATTTTGGCAATTCTACACAGGATAACTTCAGAGTCAACTCATGAGCCTGCATACAGCCGGGTGTGAGGTGGAAAAACAGTCCTTTTCCTTTTAAAAAGATGGCAAAGCAACAGGATAACACACTGACCACAGGGTCAGTTTGAGCCACAAGGTTGGCTGTTCAAACCCACCAGGTGCTCCTCAGAAACCCTATACAGGGTGGCTAGGGTCAAAACAGACTCCATGGCACTTAACAACAAAAGCAGCAAAAATGTCGTAATCCAACTTCATCACCCTAGTCTTTCTCTAATTCATCTCTTTCGAAAAAATTTAGTCTGCTCTCCAAACAAAGATTTTTCACAAATAAATATATTCCAAAGAATTTACTACAGGCTCAAATGATAACTTCCAAAGTGGAATTCAAGTTGGGCAACAATGCAATAGTTGAAACAATCATGCAGTAGCCCTGATGTGCCAATAGGTGGCAATGTTCACCAGCAAATACACGTCTGACAAACTCATTTAATATCTTGTTATTTTACTTATAAATATCAATAGTAGGGAAAATTAAATAAGAATATTAGGAAGTAGTTACCAAACTTCTTTTTTTTAAAACAGAAAAATCTGTATGTTCTTTAAGGCTCTAGTAAGCAAACAACCAAATACTTACCTCAACTATGAAAACAGCGTCCTGGTGTGGCACTGTAGAATAAGCACTGACTGCTAACCATAAGGTCGGTAGTTCAAACCTACCAGCCACTCCTTGGAAATCTTATACAGGGTTGCTATGAGTTGCAATCAACTGAACAGCACTTAACAACTATGAAAGCTGACAGATAAACTGGATCAGGTGATTCTCACTGCCTTCCTTGTCAATTCACACTTCTTACTCCCTGCACTCTCACTCACTGAATCAAATGGTTTTTGTTTGTCTTTTAAATATTTTGTCTAATTGCTTTTTTTTTTTAATGTTTTATTGTGAATTATGTGATAGTTTACATGGGAGAACATTAGTTTTACATTCATTCTATCCTGTTTCAT